TTTTTTTTTTTTTTTTTACGCCGATCGTACGTAGTTACTCTTGCGATTAGTTGGGAAAAATATGGCGAGATTGTAAAATAAATAGTTGAATAGGAGTCGCCGATTGATCTAGTCGCAGCTAGGACCGCATGAATTCTGCACGTAAGTACGTTCTCTTGCGTCAATTTTTTTTTTTAAATGATTCTAACTGTGTCCAAATGATTTTTAATAGATGCGAGAACGTTTATAATCTCGTCAGTTGTGGCAAGAGATCGAGAATTTAAGTATTTTTACGTGAAACCAGAGTTGAAGTATCTAGATAATGAAAATCATTGCCACTTCAATGGTGAGTCATAAAATTAGTTGTAATTATTCTTCTTTTTAACTAGGCGATCTCTGTAGAAGAGAAAGATTTTCGATTCAAACTAATTGAATTTATTCACCCACAGGTCGAAGTATCTTATTATAGGCAAAAGACTAGGATCATCAACTGTGTAGTAATGATAGCGAAATCACTACCATTTGTCGACTTTACAACGAAAGTATGTTACAACGAAGAATGTGCACGTTGAATTTCTACATTACTTGATTACAATCACGATCCTCTATTCATATTTCTTCGTGTTATATTATCAACACATTCAGGAATCGACATCCGACAATGAGTCTGAAGATCTTCACAACTCGAATTAATTGCTAGAATCATCGAAAATTGCCAAATTAATTAATTGCTGCCGATCAATTTTACCGATCTGATTGTGATCTCTTTTCATCAAAAGTACGACTCTCGTTGGCGAAACAAAGTTCAGCCAGCTTATTTTCTTATGAGAACGGGCTCGCCGGTCGCTGTTCTCGAACGTCGCTGCTTACCAATCGTTCGTCGTAGCAATCGTACGTTCTCGATCTCTGATTCGCGGTGCACGCGCGGCATTACGCGTTGCAACTGAATAGCGATTCAAATTTAGCCGACCGCGAACAATAATATTGATTTCAGCAAGCCGGAATTTTGCTCTTCCTGGGATAAACATCCCGAAGCGCACGTGGCGCCAATATGTGCTTTCGTTCTCTCTCTTGGTATACGCGAAGGAGAATTCGTTTCAGGGCCGTTCAGGGAAACACGCGCCACGATTTCTACGAACAACGAGTCCTTCCTATTCCACGGGGTGTCTTGTCCTTCCCCCGATACGACTAAACCAATGTTTACTACTCCGCTTTCGCGCAACGAAGCTTGCTCCAATTGCATTACTGCGCGTTACTTGCTGATCTACGCGACGAGGAGACGCGTCATTGTGTTCTTCGTCGTTGCGGAATCTCGTCAAATACCTACGACACTGGGATTAGGTAATAAAGAGAGTAGTGACGACACGTGGAAACGTGGTGACTTGGTGGATTGAAAGAAAGACATGGAGTGAGATGAGAAGAAGAGAGAGAGAGAGAGAGAGAGAGAGAGAGACTCAAAGGAGACAGAGAGGCAGAGATCGAAAAGCGTGGCAGATATAAAGTAATGATTTCACCGATTCCCGGGGGTCCTGGGCCGGAGTTGTGTCGGACACTTGAAAGGATACGCGGGCCCCTTGGAAGAGGGGGCCGCAGGAGACGATGGGTGCCCGACACATGTAGCCCCCCGGGTGGCGAGCACCGCAACTCTCAGACCCCCAACGGTGACACGAGCTACGTTACATTCTGCAGCGTCATCGAACTGGCACAATGTCATCGTGTAGCCGGCGTAAGGCTGGTCGCGCGACGCTGCTCCAGGTTGCCAGTTGGATTTCCTGGCTCCGAAAAGGGGTTCGTCGGCGACGAGAGTATTGTGACCAGCGGACGTGACGGGTGCTGAAGCGACACGTTCCGTCCAGACCACGACCGTGGACAAACGCAACCATCGGCACGATCGCACTTGGTGCATCGCCAGGAAAATTGCACGCTCCTCCTCGCGACGTGCTTATTGCCAGCGGCTGGCGGACCAATCGGCTTGGCTGCGTGGGAGGAACGAAGAAACGAGGTAAACGAGGGAA